GGGGGGCATGCATGCTATGAATCTCAGAGGAGGGGGGTGATGAGCTCAGAGGATCAGGAAGGCCAGGAGGAAAATCTTTTTTTCCTGCCCCATCCCCACGTAGGTGAGGGTGGCAGAGCATGCTTCCTCCACTGCGGGAGGTTGGGGAAGCAGACACCCCTGCGGGCGATGCAGGCTTCCCTTAGGGCACTGCAGAGGGGAGAGTGCTCTAGCCCACACACTCTGGCTCTGACGAGCTCCCCTGTCAATTCTTTCCACCATTTCCAGGAACAAAGAAACATCTTACTATGGAAATTAAGTTGGTTTTGACAGCTAATCAGACAGGCCTGAAGGTACCATAGAGAAGTCCTTGGGTGAGTGAGTGATAGTGTCTCTGAGTCCTTTGTTGATGAAGAGCTTGATAAATGGACCTTCCAAGTAGATAATTTCAGAACCCAGAGCCTGGTATTCTTTGTGTATATATATTTTTCTGTTGGTGACTCTAGTCTTTTACAAGCCAGGGTTACATCAGAATACGCCCTTCTAGTGGAAGGAGTGCCAAGTTAGCTCATTCACTGGCTTGCTTATTTGTTCATTCATTCATTCACAGGGTATTTGCTGCGTGCTCTGTACTGGGTGCTGTATTAGGTGCTGGGGCTATAATAGTGGACTAGTCAAAAGCAGTCTCCACTTTGAAAGAGTCTCTGATTTCATAAATTGGAGAAAATCACTATAAGTTGCATCAATAATGTTTAACACTTTTTTCTAAACAAATACATACTATTTAATTTAATTTCTAAATTCTAAAAACAATAAAACGTTAGAAAATGTGGACCTTTATTTAGTTTTTCTAAATAAGGTATGTTTTCTGGTACTGCATCAATTATTTCTCTAAATGATAATTGATTAACAACTTAAGATATGCTGTAAATCAGAAAATAAAATTTAAACATAGAAGAATGGGTATTCTTATTTTGCTAAATGTTTCCAAGGTTCAATATGTTTAGAGAAATGCCGTTACAAATTGATAAGAAAACAAACACTAAGAAATAACAAATATCGATAGGTGATCTACAGGGGGAGAAATACAAACGGGCCGTAAATGAATGAACAGAGGAGTGTTAACCTTAATTCAAGGAGTGTAAATTTGAAAATCAGTGAGATGCTGACTCTTGGCTGTAAAATTTATGAAAGTTGTGCATAAGGTGATATTCAAAGCTGAGGTCCTGGAAAGGGCCCAGCCTGGAGCACGCAGCTGACAGTGAACGTTGCAGCTTCCCTTGCCCAGGCCTCTCACAGCGTTTACGTTCAAGAGACCCGTGCTAAGGAAAGGCTGAGGCTGTGCACAAGGTTTTAATCAGTAGATGTCCATTAGGGTTTTGCCTGCCACAGTGAACAATCAATGAAAATAAATGCATGCATGCCAATCAAGTTCAGCGTCATCTGTTTCCACCTTCCATTTAAATCTGACCCATCCTCTGGGCAGCCCTAGTTTGTCCTCTCAAGAAGATATTTGTAGCTGACACAGGGCCCGTTACTCCCCTTTTTTTCTTGGTTCTTGAGCTCTTTCTGCCCATATCCACTCGTTTTGGTTTTTAATTGTGTATAGCCTTTTGTGGTACCTTAACATTCACATGCCATTTTGTATCCTGCTTCTTTTAACAATATATGATTTTCAGTATGTATAGAGCATATGTTCATATATCAGCCCCCTGGGTGCTTCTCTAGCTGGACTGTAAGTTCCTGGAGCCACCTTAGCCCACCAGTATGCATGTACTCAGAGGTGGATAGGTCCTTTGCTGAGCAATTGGAGGAGAAAAGGTATTCAGAATTATTGTCTTTGTTGACTGGGGGGGTCCTAGGGAAGGGGTCACGAGTTGCCACTCAAAGTGCCCCAGGAAGACTTTTCTGCAAACCATGCAGTGAGTGGGGTCTCTCTGCACAGTGTTGTTAGGGATCCTGCAGTGTCTCTCCTCTGCCTTCCAGCTGCTGCCTTAGTTGGCTTCCTCAAGTGCAGGTTCAGGCCCTCTCCTTTCCTCTGTCTCAGACACATCTGGGGGCTGCCCACTGCCTGCAGAGAGATGAATGTTGTACTTCGTGGTCCACCAAGGGCCTCTGCCCCAGAGAACCATCTGCCTCACCAGGCTCTCATCTCCCAGGGCTGACCCTCCCAAATATGTTCTACTCATATCTTCCAAACCCACTGTGGCAGGATTTTCACTATTAGTACATGTCTATATGCATATGTATATTTATTCGTGTGTGTGTATAGATCATATACATATTATTGTCTGTGTGTATAGATTTACACACACACATGAATAAGTATATGATGTGAAATCAATTAAAATAAAAATATGTAAAATCAGGGGCACACAATTACTGTAGGGATAGAAAATTAAGATTAAGTAGAACATGGGTAGATATTGAAGGTAAAGGGTAAACCATAGAAGAAACAAGTCTTATTGGTGGGACGGATTTACCACTCCACAGTTGTTTCATTTCTGAGTCTCTGAATTGGACTTCTAGCTTTTATTTTGTTTAAAATTCTAAACCACCTAATTCATGGGGAAGCAGGGAGCTTGGTAGCAGTAAAATAACAATACTCATGCTTAAGCAGCATTTTTGTCAAACATTCTATGATTTTCTACTCTTTCCCCTTTTTGGGTTTAAATATTGGTTCTCCACATGTTAATTGTGTGACTTTGGACAATTAATTGCTCTTTGCCTCAGTTTTCCTGCATATAAATGGGGATCACCACCTCAGGGGGTAGTGATGAGAATTAAGTGAGGGAATACACAAAAGTACCTAGATGGCACTGATTCTATTACTTTTTTGGTGACGGAACATTCATCCACCTCTGCTTATTGTAATCCAACTCACAAGATACAGCTCAACCACAAGAAACCCATTTTTTCCGTGTTATTTTATCTCATTGTTTAAATAAGGTGGGTGCCTACTGTGTACAAGCACATCTTATTCCCCAACTATACGAGGGGTCTTCAAAAAGTTTGTGGAAAGTGCATATTATGAAAATACTTTGCATGGATTTCAAAAAATTTTTGCACCAAAATAAACTCATACTAACTTGTTATAACATGTCTCAACAGGCTCTAGTTTGAGGCACTAAGAAGGGTAAGACATTAATTTGAAAAGATCCCCTACCAGAGCAACATGAATTCTGCTAAAATTGAAGCAAGAACAAATATCAAATTTATGGTGAATCTTAGGTGGAAGAATGGTGAAATTATTGATTCTTTACAAAAGGTTTAAGGGGACAATGCCCCAAAGAAATCAGCAGTTTACAAATGGGTAACTCATTTTAAGGAGGGACAAGATGATGTTGCAGATAGAGCCTGCAGCAGCTCACTATCCACATCAACTTGTGAGGAAAAAGTTAATATTGTTCATGCCCTGATTGAAAAGGACCAACGATTAACAGCAGAAACAATAGCCACCACCATAGACGTCTCAACTGATCCAGCTTACTTACACAATTGTGATTGAAAAATCAAAGGTGAGCAAACTTTCCACTCGATGGGTGCCTATACTGTTGTGCCCAGATCAGCGGCAGACAAGAGCAGAGCTTTCAATGGAACTTTTAAACAAGTGGGATCAAGACCCTGAAGCATTTCTTCAAAGAATTATAACAGAAGATGAAACCCGGCTTTACCAGTACGATCCTAAGCATATCAAAGCAATAGCTACCAAGATGGTGGAAGTGGTCCAGTCAAAGCAAAAGCACACGGGTCAAGAACAAAGGTCATGACAATAGTTTTTTAGGACACTCAGGCATTTTGCTTGTTGACTTTGTGGAGGGCAAAAAAATGATGACAGGTGCTTATTATGAGTGTTTTGAGAGTTAGCCAAAGCTTTAGCAGAAAAATGCCCAGAAAAGCTTCACCAGAGAGTCCCCCTCCACCATGACAATGCTCCTGCTCGTTGCTATTGTCTAACAAGGGCAGTTTTGTGAGAGTTTTGGTGGGAAATCATTTGGCATCCACTTTACAGTCCTGATTTGGCTCCTTCTGTCTTCTTTATGTTTCTAACTCTTAAAAGTCTTTAAAGGGCACCCATTTTTCTTTAGCTAGTAATATGAAAAAGACTACATTGACACGGTTGAATTCCCAGGACCCTCAGTTCTTTAGGGATGGCCTAAGTGGCTGTATCATTGCTTACAAAAGCGTCTTGAACTTGATGGAAATTATTTTGAAAATAAAGTCTACATTTCTTATTTTTATCTCGTAATTCTATTTTCTACAAACTTTTTGAAGTGCCCTTGTATTATAAATTCTCTGAATATATGCTTATGTATTAAGTTTACTTAATGTTTCTGGTACCCAAGTCCCTATTTGGTTCTGGATTTAGATTTAGAATCTAATTAAACAATCAGGATTCTGGGTTATTTTTGAGAATGTCATGGAAACAAGAACATGAGTTAAAGTAGTAATTTTCTTGGATTCAGAATGATTGATTCAATACAGAATCCAAAGGTTCCTCATTTAGAGATGGAGAGAGCTTGTCCTGGGGTTGTAGGCTGAATCCATATCTGGCTGTTATGCTTACTATTAGGGACCTAAAATTGAGGACTGAACAAAATATTTACCTAAAATACAAACAAATTCTTAGTGCAGGTGGTTCTAAAAGTGTTGTCTGAACCACCAGCAGCAGTATTATCTAGAAACTTGTTAGAAATACAAATTGCCAGTCCCCACCCCCCAGGCATACTGGATCAGAAACCATCCCTGCAGGTGATTCTTACGCACACTAAAGTTTGAGAACTACTGTCTTAGGGTAGTAACTGAATTTGGGGGGAGGCTGTACTCTGTGCCAAAAGATGTATCTGTTCATTAGCAGATGAAGAAAAGTTGGGCATACTTTGGGTATTTTACTTAACCTGATGTTATTCATAATTGTATCTAGAAAATCCGGTTTAAATGCATTTAATTACCATTAAAAATGCATTTTTGCTGACTTGTCTTTCCCTGTCTTCTTTCCTCTCGGTATTTCCGCGTGGCAGACGAGTTGGATTTTATGTCAATACTTTCAAAAACGTCTCCAGCCTTGAGGCCAAGTTTCATAAGGAAATTGCAGTGGTGAGTAGTGGTGATTGTTTTTACACATGGAAAATAAAATAAAGGGTTACTTTGGAAGCAAATGAAATGACATAGCATTATCCAAAGAATTCACCATTTTGCATGTCTCTTTTAGTGGTGTGTGATTATTCTTAGTAGTATTTCTGCAGTTTTTTGGAAGTGACCACATAGTTCTCTGTATCTTTTCAAGATTTTGTCACAGTCTCACGGTCTTGTTTTTTTTTTTTTCTTTAGTTTATAAAGTTGGAATTTCAAGTGGTACTTTAGGCTGATGAAAAACTGGTCCCAAAATATTCAGATAACAGACAGCTCCGTTGTTGACTGATGTCTTCTTTGTTCAACAGCGTGGTTGTGTGACTATTTGTACTAGAGTCAGTGGAAATGATGATCTCATTTTCTGTTCTATACTCCGATTAATAATTATGTTTTGATTTTTTTTTTCAGTTTATGTTTCATTTATTTCTGTTTTGACAGGGGTTTTAAATTTGGAGCATATGCAGAATTTCAGTTATCCCGAGGCCATCCAAACTATCACAAGATTCTTAGTATCTCAGTAAACAATTTCTTTCTTGGGGGGAATAGCTTGAATTGGTACCAGGATGACTTGCAGCTGACAGACAAATGACCTCTGTCCCTTTAGCTCTGCCACAAGCTGTTTGAAGTGATGACGAAGCTGGGTGACCAACACGCCGACAAGGCCTTCACCATCCAAGGGGCTCCCAGGTAGGCCACGGCTCCCCAGGGCCCGGTCCGTTCCTGTGCACCTTCACTGTGCTGCTGCAGAGGTTCCTGCATCTGTGCACCACCTGTCTATTTCATCCGTCCTATAAACATCGCAGAGGAGCCTTTCTACGCAGGCCTGGCACTGACCTTTGCCCTGTGCTTCCACGTTGACTTCTGGCTTTCACTTGCCAGCGAGGGTTCTCGATGTCCCGAGAGAACTGTCTGCCTCTCTCTTCTTTCCACAAGACCTGCTAGCCAGGGTGTGAAGTTTGCGTGTATAATTTCTAGTTGTGTACTTGTTACTTTATCTAGAGAGGAGAGGAATTCCCAAACCTGTGACAGTTAGTCCTGATTCTTGTCATTGGTGCTGACATCTTCAGTGAATCTGTCTTGAGAAGGGAAAGAGGAAGCAGCGGGGAGTCCACCGTCCCCTCTGCTGCTGACTCTTGATCTGGCCGGCCCCGCGTTGTTCTTGTTTATGGCACACTGCTGTGGTGGGTGCACCAGGCAGGTTCACCAAAGGCCCGTGACCCCCAGGTGAGTTGTCCATGTTGCCAGGATGCAGCTTCACACCAGCTTCCTCCTGTGACTCGGGAGTCCCTTTGAGTCCATCCTTCTCAGCTCTGCACACTCAGAGAGGGCAGGCAGCGAGCCTTGGGCTGCGGGTTGGAAGACCCAGCTTCTAGTTTGATGACTCTGCAGTTGATTTGCCTCTCCTTCCTTGAGTAAGTTCAATAACATCTCTGTTGAAAGGTCTCATTATTTTGTAACCAACAGAAAAATTTAAGATACTATTGAATTCAGGGCTTCTAAGGTGCTATGCAGTCCTGACCTTCCGTATTTGTGATTTAACATCAGTCAGTGCAAACACTCATGGGCACACACAACACACGTACCCATGCACATGCGCTAACACCTGCATATGCTAACGGTCAGACCCCTCTGGAGATTGCAAATTTTCTTAACCTGTGCTCTTTGGCTTAGTGTTACCTGTGGCCTCTGCTATGGCTGCTATACTAAGCGAGCAGTGAGTAGAGCTTCTCTCTCTAAGGGAAAGAACATGGCCTAAAAGAATGCATGCTCAGGGCAGAGTTACTGGGATAAATACAGTTGTCTCCATGTTGGGCTGGGAACAAAGGAAGAATTAGAATAGGAATATCAAAATGACATTGAGGTGTTTTCAAAATGAAGCACATGAGAACATTAAAGGTTGCTTCCTTACATGGAAATGAGAGGGACAGATGCCTCTGAAAAGTTCAGCGTTGCTGAATCAGATAAAGGGAAGAGAACGCGGGGCCATGACCACTTATCCAATGTTCCTTTTGTTTTTTCCAACGTTCCTCTGTGGAACGAAGTGGTGAGTGAGCTCAGTGGGGTCTGTGTTGAGTGTAGACCGGGGCCGTGTTTCCTGTAGAGGCCATGATTGCGGGCACACGGCTCCAGTCACGCGGCGTGTCTGTGTTCTCTCTATGGGACCCAGTTACCTCGGCTTCGTGGACGTGCAGACCATGCTGCCGTGTGTGTGCTCTTTCATTCTGCGGTGCAGATTCTGCTCCTTCCAGCTGTAGATTTTAGAAATTCCTAGAGAGTAGCATGTGTCCCGATGCCCTCTTAGTCATCACATTTGGGCTCTTCCCAGGCATCTGTCCCCATGCTGGGAACACGGTGGGTTCTCAGTGAATGTCACTGAATCTTCTTTATCCCATGATGGGTTTGCACATTTCAAGGTGTCTGAGTTGAGTCATTGTTTTATAAAGTGTAGAAAGAGGAATAATTAGTGAGTATATTTCCAAATGTTAGCAGAAGACACTCTTACAAAATCTTTACCGACACGATCCTAAGGATGCCTTTTAAGGTAAATTTACACTTTTCAGAAAAGGTTTTTCTATAGGTTGTGGCATGACAAGATTCTCTTGTAAATCAAAAGTAAACTAGGTTACGTGATTCAGCTTGTGTTTGGAGGATTCTTGTCTGGTTTGCCTGGTGTGGTGGAAAGAAGAGTGGTTTGTGTTACTGAGACCTGAATTCAGATCTACCGAATCGCCGGGTGACTTCAGAGTGTTTTTACCTCTCTGTTCCCCTCTTTACTCCCTGTGAAGTGGGGACAGGAATGTGCGGTTGCTGTGAAGATAAGATAACCACTAACATAGGAGTGGGGTCTGCATGCACTGGACAGTCAATGGTACCACGCACCACCGCTGCTGTTACTTACAACCGGGATTAACCTAGAGGGGGGAGCAGGATAATAACAAGCAGTGCCTGCTGTGCATCAGGACGTCTCTGGGGTGGAGGACCTCTGAGCAAGTGAGCACCCTTCCTTAGAAGGCCTCTGGCATCATGCCCTGTCTTCTTCCAGCGATTCGGGTCCTCTGCGCATTGCAAAGACGCCATCCCCACCCGAGGAGCCTTCACCCCTCCCGAGCCCGACAGCAAGTCCGAACCATGTGCTAGCACCTGCGTCTCCTGCACCTGTGCGGCCCAGGTCACCTTCGCAGGTAGGAAGAGATGAAATATTCTGGGGGATAGAAGGCCTCATAGTGGGGTTACCCCATCTGGGATCATTCCATAGTGCTGGGGCATTAAGAGAAGTTTCCAGTTGGGGAAACTGAGGTGTGAGGCTTTAGGCCTTGCAATGGTCACTAAGAAGTCCACCCGTTTTTCTTATTTGACTTTCTGTGCTTCCTCGCGCGTCTGGGTGCGGGTCTGCTGGGACTTCTTTCCACATTCCCAGCCTCCTCAGGCTCGCTGCCCTCTTCTCCCGTCTCCGGCTTGCAGATCCCTCTCTTTCCAGATGCCATGTAATCCTGCCTTCTGCATGACACCTTCCTCTCCTAGCATGTTAGGTGACAGCCAGGGCAAGTTCTGCCAAGAAAAGCAGTTACATTTATGTGTCACTTCAGTTTTTGCATCACCCACAGCATTTTGCACACGAGCAGCCACTCAGTAAGACTGTGCAGAACAAATGATTGAAAAGAAGGAGTAAGAACCAGGCAAAGGTGATTATAGAAAATTCGCCACCCTGTTTTCCCTACTTTGGGTGAAAATAAAATTCCTGGAGGGACAGTTGAAGTCCCCAGTCCAGTTCAACTAAGCGTGAAACTAGGAAAGTGGTAAGAAGACATATGTAAAGAGGAGCCTCTCAGGGTCTTACTTTTTGTGACCCTGCAGTGGAACGTGACATGTAAGCTGCCAGTAGTTGGTCTCTCAGATGCAGTCAAGAGCTGCTTGATTTTAGTTTTGAGGTTCTGATCATTGCTGAGGTGAGAAATCACTTTCAGTGTAGTTCCGAGAAGGTGCTGCCTTGGTCCGACTGTGAAGGTGTGGGCACCTGGCCCGCAGCCCTGTGCACAGCACTTATGTGGAGCTGATGGGCTCGTGGAGCTTATGGCCTCTCGTAGCTGAGTTTTCCTCCTGGATGCTGCTTGTCAAAGCTCAGGGGCCACCAGGCAGACAGCCTCCTTAACCCGGGGTGGCAGTCTTGTTCCATCTGCAGGTCTGAGTTTCAAGCAGAGCTGAGCCTGTCCACCTAGCTCTGCTCACGTGACATTTCTGCATGTCTCACTTGCCCTCTCTGGCTGAATCATTGTTTGTATTTAATGCTTTGCAGACGAGGAAAGGGCCCCCTGTCCCACCTCTGCCTAAAGTCACCCCAACGAAGGACTTGCAGCAGGAGAACATCATCAGTTTCTTTGAGGACAACTTTGTTCCGGAAATCAGTGTGACGACACCTTCCCAGGTGAGTGTGCCCGGTTCAGAGCTGGGATGCCTGGAAGGTGCCATGACAGAGGGACCCTCAGGGTCAGCTCAGAGGAAGTGGCCAGCATTAGAGCCAGCAGCAAGATTTCAGTCGTCATTCAGGTTTGTTCTAATTTCGTTTATGTCTCAAGCATTCTTCAATGGGAGGTACGCCGTATTTGAAAATATTCTTATGTTTTTTAAGTAAATACTTACTGTAGAAAAGTGGAAAACTACATAAAAATGTAAAATGAAGGATTTTAGTAGTCATTTAAGTCATTCCATCCTCATATAACCACTAATGCACTTTGGTCTGTTTTCTTTTATTTATTTTTTCTTCCCTGAGTATGCATCAATTTTGCACCATAAAAATCCAGATTGTATTGTTATGTATTCCTGACTTTTTACTTAATCTTGTTGAGCAGCTTTATGTCATAGCGTGTCTTCACAGAGGCACACTTGCCCGCAGTGCTCTCTCAGGTGGATGAACCGACCCTGATTGGTGGCCCGGGTTGCTTCCAATCTTTCTGTTACTCACCAGCACCTCAGTGAGCGTCTGTACACACAGCGGTTCATGTCTGGGCCTTCTGTTATTTCTCTTATATTGATTCCTAGTAGAGAACGGGAAGATGAAATTAAAAGAGGTGGATAATTCTAAGTCTTGCCCTTTGGCAGCATCGTATCATTGACATGATTCAGCACATGGACAGGTTGGTGTTCCTGCTGCTCGAAGACATCTGGGTGAACATGGCCCACTGCAGCTACCTGCCAACCTGTCCCTGCTAGCAGATGGCTGCCTCATTGACTCAAGAGTAGTGGTGACTTCCAGAGCTGCTCCTAATTCCGTGGAAATTGTCCCTTTCTTTTACAAGTGAAAGTCCCCAGAGAAGTCATGCCAACACCATGTCCTGCCAGTGTTCTCAGGGTCAGAGATAAAGTTTACATCTTGCAAGAGGTGCTAAAGCAATACTGTAATTACTGAGCACATCGATAACAACACAACCTATAATCACATGCTGCTGATAATAGCAGAGGTAGTGCAGCAGAAATACAGGGAGCGACATAGGGCAAACCACGATTTGTCATCTCTTTTAAGGACATTTATCCACAGGTGTGATGCTTTGAGCTCTTGCTTTCCTTCTGTGGCTTGCACACACCCGTGAATTTGGTAAGCTAACTAGGGTGTGGCGTGTGATTTAGTGCTGTTTTGAGGAGGGGGACTGCGTGTTTCCAGTGCCTGGAAACACTTAGTGTCTGTGACTGCAGAGATGCCTTTGGGTCAGCTGTCTCGTAGCACATGACCTTACCCAGCATCTGCACCTTGCCCTGGCCCCAGACTTGAGCAGTTTCGTTTGCAGGTTGTGTGTCCTTTGTATTTTCTGCCTCCCGGCTTCATTCCCTTTTTCGCAGTGTGAATTTTCAAATCGGGAGTGCTGTAGGGTGATGACACCCTTGCTCAGATGCTTTTACCTGGACCCCAAGAGCATCTCCTAAGTTCCATCACACAGAGACTTGGTCACCTGGAAGCCTTGTGTGCATAGCTGAGGACATCCCCATTCCGTAGGTGAGGCACCTGAGGTGGCGACATGGGGCCCGCAGACTAGTGGGGAAGTAAAGACGAGGTTCAGAGGTGTCCCGTCTTTCTAATTTAATTTTTTATTTTTTAATTGCAGTTTACTGGCTCTTAGATAAGGACCCTTCATGGGGGGCGGGAGAGAATCAAAGCACTTTTGAAAACTACAAGTGCCAGGAGAGGCCCTTGTGTACTGTGGGAGCTTTAACTCCTGCGGTATAGTTGAGTGAGGTGATGAGAGAGTCAGGAGCGGGGGGCACCTTCCAGAAGGGACGCGTCCTCCAGCTGCAGCTGCTTCTGCTGGGGCCACCCCACCCGTCTGCACCAGCACCTCATCTGCCAGGCAAGTCTGGAAGAACTGACCACCAGAGACATTATGGAGGTGCGTTGTCTGGGTGCAGCCTCATTTACGTTGTTTTCTTTTAATCTGGGAAGGATGCAGAAGGGGGCTTCTGTCATTTTTCTGAATCTGAGAAGCAGCATGGCTGTGGCACCTGAATCATTTCCATGGACTAAATGGCCACTTGTCTCAAGTCAAGGTGTCAGGAGAGGCAGAGAGGCAGGATCTGTGTTCAGTCTACTTTCTGGCTTGTTGAGTGATACAATCTAGCCTATGTGGAACTGTACAGATGCTGCCTTTTCCTGAAGCGTCCTCACGATTTCCTCAGCTGCCTGCTCCTCTAGAGATATAAATAGCCATTCTGTGTTAAGTGAGCTCGGCTAGCAGAGTTTCTGATTCTGCAGGTCTGTGGTGGGGTCAAGACTGTGCATTTCTCCTGAGTTCCCAGGAGATGCTGCAACTGCTTCTGGACCACCCTGTGAGAACCACTGTTTTAAGCCGTCAAGATTCCACGAGGTACATATCAGTGACCATTAGCAAAGTACCCCACTCAACTAGAAGTTTCTTCCAGGGAAATATCCAGCTGATCCAAGTGTGTGCTGTGACTGACCATTTGAACTGCTCACTGTGAGAGCAGTGTGACTTACAACGTTCCGCATTCAGGGCTACTGGACACGCCCACACGTATACACATATATGCACATGTGCTTGTAGTGTCAGGCGTGTTGATCTGATCACTTGTCAAGCTACAGACTGAGTGAATAAATTGTATCATTTGGACAGTAGTGTATTTGGCAGTGCACAAATACATGAATAAAGCAGAGTAAATAACGGTGCCTGGAACAACTGGACGCTGACCGTGAGGACACAGAGCCCTGACAACTAGAAAGCTGAGATGGACCTGGAACGGTTTTCCTCCTGGTCCGTATAGCAATGTAGAATGACCCGCTTACATTCAATTTTAATATTAATTTTTTAAGTGAGTCATCCTACATTTAGAAGATGGGTTCTTGTCCCCAGTTGGCTATTTTTATCATGCGCTTAATGGGGAAGAAAAGCATTTATGTTAATCCTGCCCAGAAGCTCAAAATGTGAAGATTGAAATATACCTAATCTCTGATGGATTTGTTTGTGTCCTACACCAAGCATCATCACAGTGATGATTCTTGAGTTTGTCCTGGGATTGAAAGCAAATCCATCAGACCTCCAGAGCCCTCTAATGGCCCAGATATTAAATATAGCATAGAATTTTCTCTGGGAAATATGTGTACCTGCACACAGGGAGATGCCTGATTGTCAGACCACAAGCCTTGCCTTGCTTTTCTGGCTCTTTGTTTACAAAAATGGACCTTCCAAAAGACAAACACACCCTTCCCTATTTTTTCCACCCAAGAATTTAAATAGAAAGAAATCGTGTGTGTGTGTGTGTGTGTGTGTGTGTGTGTGTGTGTGTGTGTGTCCCTGCATTGGCATTTCAAAACAGCATTTTCTAAAGTGTTTTTTTGAAGAACGCTAGTCTCAGATGCTCTGAAAGGGGGGGTCTCTGGTCACATGACACTGGGAGGGGCTGCATCTCTTTGCCTTATAATAATTCATGTCAGCATGTTCAAGGCTCTGAGAAGTTCTGCACCAAAAGCCCCATTTAATTTTGTTTAAGCCACAGTTTGTCAGTCAGTTTCCCCTCCCCCTGCCCCCAAGTGGAAATGGGTGTTTGGTGAAACAGTATAGGAAATGAAGAATTAAAGATATTATGTCTCTGGAAACCAAATTTATGCATGTAAATAAGATTTTAACAGGAGATCAATACAAAAATATCAATCACATATATATTACACGTGTGTGTGTGTGTATGTGTGTGTGTATCCACACAGGGTTGTTTCTCTCTAATTAAAAAAATTTTTTTGGACTGCTTTCTATTCTAACTTGATGACTTGAGTCTAAATCAGTGCTCACCCTCTCCTCTTGAGGATTGTGGCCCTGAGCAAATACTTTTTGCTGGGAGCCTCTGTCCGTAAAAACAACTGGAGTCGCTTGAGGTAGGCATATCACCAGCATGCTGTGGCCAGTCTCATGGGATGTCATACGGGAAATGCCATGGCAGCCAAAGAGAGCACCCTGCTCACCAGCTGCCTTCCTGGAAACAGGACTGGCCACCACTCCCCAGGACAACTCCATGGATATGAGCCCCAAGCCCAGTCAGTGTACCACAGTCAATGCCGTCACCCACCCCAACGGTGGTCACCCTTCTGCAACAGCCTGTCCTTGGCTCCAGCCATGAAGTTAAATGTCCCTAGGACACTGCTTCATCATAATTATGGACAAAAGGCTAAAACTTTACTCACTATTAGAAATTGTAAATTACTTTGTGAACCCAAAATGAAAGACATTTCTATTATATGACAGGTAGCTCTTGGTTGGCTTTGTTCCTGAAAACTTTACTTAACCTTCTCTCTTAAGCTTACTATTTGATCTCCTTTGCCCTTTTGGGAGGTTATAACTGTCTAGCATGACACCTGGGATAATAGTAAAGGTTCTCAAAATATGTTTGATGATAGAATAAAAAGTGAAAAAACTCTGGAGGAAGTAGTACCTATGGCCTCACGCTAACCTGGCTCACTGTAGTACTGTTAGGATTTAAGAAGCATGTGTGTGTGTGCGTGTGCGTGCGTGCGTGCGTGTGTGTGTGCATGTGTGTGTGTGTGTCCATGCAGCATGGGGCATGATTTGGAGACTATGTTTTACGTGTAAATGTTTTGTGACTATAGCTACAAGTTGCAATCTTTCTTACCTGATATGCTTATAAAAATAATTCCCAAAAGGATGCATAGTTTAAGTAAAAACACTTAGTAGATTACAGAGAAGCAAAAAGTACAAATCAGAGGCTATAATTCTATTTTCCTGCAAAACCCACTTCTACTAACTTTGTTTATATAATGCCCCCAAAGTTTTCTTTACATAGTGGCTGAAATGTATAGTTTTAGAAATTTGATGATTCTATGTCAGTTTTGTAATTTGTGATTTTTTTTTTTTTTACTTCTAATATAACAAAAATGTTCCCATGAGAATTCGGTATTTATGTCATCATTTT